GTAAATGCAGACGTGTCCACCCTCCTCCACCCTGGGTTCTGACCCTTTATTCTTAACACAGGGACCAAAACAGCCTTCCTCGTGGGAGCCCCGTGGGGTCCCCTCAGAGCACACGCTGGGGTCCTTGGTAGCTCTCCGGGCCTCTGCCTGGTTGGTCCCCACCCGTGCCCGCACCCCACCTCTTCCTGCCCTGTACTTGCCCATGCCCCTGCCCCCAGCCCTGCGCTGCACCCCCCTCCCAACCCCTGCCTCCCTGAGGCTGCCCGCCTCTGCTCCGGGAGTCCAGGCCCCCGGCCCTACTCGCTCGCTATACAGTTTCACAGCCCCCCCGCCCTTTCCTGCTTTACTCTTTCTCTTCGGCCTGACCACTAGCGAGTGTGGTTTTATCCGTTCTGTAAACCCCTGGGCCTGACCAGCAGCAGTGGCACCTCAGAACCCTCTGACAAAGCACTTAGGGGTTTGTGGCTGGATGGATCAGCGGGCGGGGATGGGAGACGGATGGGTTCTGGACTCACGCCCCAGTAAAACCACACCCTGGCCCACGCCCTGCGCTGTGGGACGGCTCGTTGGTAATGAAGCCTGCCATGTTCACTGTTGACTCTGAGGATCCACTGTGTTAGGGTGAGTCCTGCGTGGGGGCCCCCGTGGGAGCCGAGGGGGAGGAGGCCGGCCCCCAGCAGCAGCCCAGGAAGAGTGCAGGGTGATGGTTCAGGATTTACGTGGGCTCACCGGGTGGGGGCAGGCAGTGCTGAGACATCTCTGAGGAGTGTGAGGACAGAAGGGGAGGCTGCCCTGGACGGCGCCCGCCTCCCCGCCTGCGTGCCACCTCCTCCTCAGACCCCTGGCTGGTCCCTGCTCAGCTGCGCTTGACCCTGTCCTCTGGGTGGGACGGGCTCACGTCTGTGTCCTCACTGCCTCGCCCGGGTCCGGTCCCCGTCAGCCCTTGGGGACTTCGGATACTACAGCAGTACCGCCCTCCAACGCCCCCCACACAGGCCCAGGGCCGGGCACGCCAGCCCCGTCTCGCTCCCACAGCCCCCGTCCTGGAGCTGAGCCTGGTGCCCTGTGCACCTGGCTGCAGACGTGATCCTCTGAGTGTTTTCCTAGGGGTCCACGGTGTGCAGGTAAATAGCACGTTATTCTCTGGAATTTTAATACCCAAATGTACTTTATGTCCCCAGTTGTGAAACAGCCAATGTGGACATAGAATTGGAGGAATAGCTGTTAAAAACAAAGTTTATTAAACACTCGGTTTGTTGCTAACTTGCGACCAGGAAATGCGTGTGTGTGTGTGTGTGTGTGTGTGTGTTTTTACTGCAACATGTAGGTCTCTTAAGCTTAGAACTTTTAATCTTTCGGAGTGACGTAGAGTTTTTCTTCCCACAGTGCAACTGTTTTCACCAAAGACTAGTTTCAAGAAGGTAAAAGACCTTCAAATGCAGGAGCAGTGACAGGTGGTATGTACCCTGGCCTGAGCTCTGATGTTCTGGTGCCTGAGTCCGTGTCCGGCCCTTGGGCGGCCTGCAGCGAGGCTGCGTGTGCTTCCCTCCCTTCCCCGTCGGGCCCTCCTCCTGCCCCGTGTAGAACGAGACCAGGTTCAGTTCAGAGGCCAAGGGAGGTTTTATTTGATCAGCGAATGGAGAGGTGCTCCGCTGGGGCTGCATCATCGGGTCTCGTGTGCGGAGGGAGGGCGGGGCCCCGGGCTGGCGCAGTCCCGTTGCTCTGGGCACCTCGGACTGAAGGGCATCTCTGCACGCGGCCCACCAGGCGGGGTGGAGCTCATCCCCTGTGTTGGGTGCGAGGCCTGTGCACACGGCCGCTGCAGACGGGCGAAACCAGACTGAGCACAAAAGAGGTGGTTAGACCTCATCTCCTAGGTTCCGTCCTCCGCTTCCAGGGGGCCCCCTGGGCTTTGTGGTGACCTGGGTCGCAGTGCTGGTGAGGACCCCGCTCCGTGTCCCAGGTTTCTAGCGCAAGGCTGTGAGCCCGACCGGTGGACGACTTGGACGGCTCTGTCCCACAGCGAGGCACTGAGTGCAGGTGGTGTGAGCAGATGTGGGTGGCTTGTCACTGAGGCTCCCAGGCTTCAGAGCAGCGCTTCCTTCTGTGCCGTCTGCTGCGCGCCTGCTGCTTCCTGATGCTCTGACCCTGTGACGTGTGTCCTGCTTGTGCTGTGGGTTCTGGGCTGCGAGGCGGGGGGCCCCTGGGAGCTGGGGTCACACCCCGCTGGTCCCGGCCCGTGGCTGTGGCACCGCCTGGAGGCTGTGGAGCCCTTGCTGCACCTGGACAAGGGGTCCTGCCGGCTGCACCTGCCAGCCTCCTTGCACTGGATTTTCAGCGTCAGTCCTTTCCCCAGCCTCTCCTCGATCTGTTGTAGGAACGGGATGTGATTCTTTTCACGGCAAATGCAAGCTCTTTGTAGACGATCTGAATACTGAGTATTAAGTTAGCCACGCACAAGGAGTGTGAACTGGAAAGTAGAATGTTTTCTTTACTGAGAGCCCTCCCCCCACAGTCATCACGGTGCTCATGCTGGTTCATATTAAACATGAGAAATCCTCGATATTTTGTACTTAAGATGTGCATTTTGGCGCGATGGAATGTAAGTCCACTTTGCAGGGTTATTTCGTGGCTTTTAAGAGAAACTGAAGTGTCGTTGATTTACAAGGCTGTGCTGGTCTCAGGAGTGTGACATGGCGACTTGGGATTTTTGTCGGTTATAGTCCATGTAAAGTGTTATGAAATAGCGGTTGTGCTTCCCTGTGCTTCCCAGCACGCTCTTCTCGCTTATCCATTTTATACACAGCGGTCTATGTCTTCCCCGCCCCCTCCGCCGCTGGTGACCGCGAGGCTGTTCTCTGTGTGTGTGAGTCTGCTTCTGTTTTGTCGTGTGCGTTCGTTCGTCTGCCTTTGTAGCTTCCACGTGCTAGTGACGTCGTACGTGCGTGTCTTTCTCTGACCTGTTTCACTGAGCGTGCTGCCCTCTAGGCCCATCCGCGCTGTTGCGAAGGGCAGGGTTTCGTCCTTCCTCGTGGCTGACACCCCGCTGTGCGCGCGCCTGTGTATCTCGTCTTCCTTACTCTTTCGTCTGTGGGTGGACACTCGGGTCGCTTCCGTGTCTTGGCTGCTGTGCACATCGAGGTGCATGTATCTTTTTGGTTTAGTGTTTCCATTTTCTTCAGATACTTACCCAGCCGTGAAGTTCCCGCAATGTATGGAAGCTCTATTTGTAGCTTTTGAGGCCTCTGCATCCTGTTCTCCACAGCAGCTGCACGGTTTGCATTGCTGCCGGCAGAGTGGGAGGGCTCCCTCTCTTCCACGTCCTCGCCAGCGTTTGTTATGTGCAGTCTTTCCGATGATGGCCTTTCTGACAGGTGTGATACCTCACTGTGGTTTCGATCTGCAATTCTCTGGGAAGTAGTGATGCTGAGCATCTTTTCATGTGCCTGTTAGCCGTCTGTGTGTCTTCTTTGGGAAAATTCTATTCAGGTCTCTGCCTTTTTCTCAGTCAGGTGGTTTGGTGTTTTGGTGTTGAGTCGCTCGAGCTGTTTGTGTGTTTTGGATATTAGCTTGGTGTGAGTCACAGTATCTGCAAGTATTCGCTCCCACTCAGTGAGCTGTCTTCATTTTGTCAGTGCTTCCCTTTCCTGTACGAAAACTGCAAGTTTAGTTGCATCCCAGGTGTTGTTTTTGCTTTTATTTCTTTTGCCTTAGGGGACAGATGAAGAACAATGGCTACACATTGTGTCTCGTTCTACCTTGCTTTCTTCGAAGAGTTTCGTGGTCTCCAGGCCTACATTTAGATCTTTAATCCAGTTAGTTTGGTTTTGCCTGTGGTGTTCGGGAATGTTCCACTTTCAGTCTGTTGCAGGCCGCTGGCCAGTGTTCCCAGCACCACTTATTGGAGAGACTGTCTTTTCTCCATTGTCTGCCCTTACCTCTTCTGTCATAGATTAATTGACCGTAAGGTGGTGGGTTTATTTCCAGGCTTTCTGTCCTGTTCCATCGGGCTTTTGGGCCAGTAGCGTACTGTTTTGATTTCTGTGACTCTGCAGCATAGTCTGAAGTCAGGAAGGGTGGTTCCTGCTCAAGTTTTCGGAGTAGTTTAAGACGGGCAGGATGAGCCCTGTGCACATGTTCGGTGGAATTCCTCCACGAAGCCATCAGTCCTGGGCTTTTGCTTGCTGGGAGGTTTTTGTTTTTTTAATTACAAATTCAGTTTCACCGCTAGTGATCCGTCTCTTGGGTTTGTCTTCTTCTTCCGTACTCAGTTTTGGAAGGTTGGATGTTTCCAGACGTTTGTCCGTTTCTTCTAGGCTGTGCACTCTGCTGGCATGTAACTGTGCATGGTGTTCGCTGATGATTTTTTGAAATGTCTGTGGCACTGGTTGCGTTTCCCCACTTTCATTTCTTACTTTGTTTGTCTTGATTCTCTCTTTTCTTCGTGGTGAGCCTGGCTAGAGGTTTGTCAATTTTGTATTACCTTTTCAAGAAGACAGCTCTTGTTTCGTTGATTTTTCCGTTCTTTCAGTTTGGCCTCTGTCTTATTTCCTCTCTGACCTTCATTGTTTCCCTTCTCTTGCTGACTTTGGCCGTAGTTTATTCTTCTGCTTCTAATTCCTTTACGTGGAAGCTTGGGTTGTTTATTCGAGATTCTTCTGCTCCCCAAGGGAGGCCTGTGTCACTGTGAACGTCCCTCTAGAACCCACTTTGCTCGTCCCGCAGGTTTGGGAAGCGGGGCTTCGGTGTTTTCTGGTTTCCTTTTTCGTTTGTTCATTGACCCGTTGGTTTCAGTACATGTGCTTTAGTCTCCGTGTGTTTGTGCTTTTCTCGCTTTTCTTCCTGCAACTGAGTTCTAGTTTCGTCAAGCTGTGGTTAGAAAAGTGCTTGATGTAATTTCTGTCGTCTTAGATTTGCTGAGACTGGCTTTGTAGCCTACGGTGTGATCTGTCCTGGAGACCGTCCCAGGTGCGTTTGAAAAGAATGTGTGCTCTGCTGTTACTGGATGGAATGTCCTGTGAGTACCTATTAAGGCCAACTGGCCCAGTGCTCTTTTTAAAACCGGTGTTGCCTCACTGATTTTCTCATCAGTCAGGGAGGAAGCAGTGAGGTGTTGAACCCCCTGACTGTCACTGTATTGGGGTCAGTTTTTCCTTTTGTGTCTGTTAATGTTTGCCTTTGTACTTAGGGGCTCCTGTACTGAGTTCACATGTGTTATCGTGTGTAACAGCGTCTTGCTGACCCCTTTATTATTATATAATGTCCTTCTTTTTTCTGAACAGCTTTGTTTTAAAGTCTGTTTTGTCTTACATGGGTGTTGCTGGCCCTGCCTTCTTGTTGTTTACATTTGCATGAAATATCTCTTCCATCTCCTCGTTTGTCAGCCTGTGTCTTTAGCTCTTACAGTCTTAGCCTCTTATAGGCAGCATGTAGATGGCATTTCATGGTTTTGAATGTAAGAGTATGTGTATGAATATATATTTATATGTATACTTACATGTATATGTGTGTTTCAATAACACATGTATATATATTTGAATTTTATGAAATAAAATTATATATGTAATTAGGGGAGAATCCACCTTACATCTGGTTTTTTTTAATTTCTAATCTCACTTTGGACTATCTCGATTATTTCCTCTGATCTCCCTTAAAGTAAGGAGTATCCGTGGGAGAGCCCTCTGCCAGCTCAGCAAGCAGCCCGCGGCGTCCCGCCACCAAACCGCCCTGCGCCGTGTTCAGCACTCGGGTGCACCCGTCTAGCCCGAGCCGTGCTTCACTGCATCTGTGAGAGCGTCTCGTTCTGCCCACTGTCCTGCTGTAAGTAGACCTGAAAGTCTTGGTTACTTGAAGTTACAGTATCAACCCCGTGGTCGCTAGAATCAGCCCAGCGCGGCCACGTGTGCGCGTGGCCTCCCGCGCGCCGGCACCAGGCTTGGCTACGAGCCCAGCCTGGCGGCTCCACTGTCTGAGCTCTTCTTCTCGGAGGTGGGCATCATTTCTGGCATCTAGCTCTGCTTACGGGTGAGGCTGTGGCTCCTTCCCCAGGGCAGATCTGTCTGTGCACTCCCCGCCAGCCTCCATGCCTGTTAGACGGGCCATCTGCCCGAAGTATTTCACGTGGGTTTCAAGGCTGTTGTTGTTTACCGCTGTGCTGAATTCCTTGTTTGTCACATAGTTCTCTAGCTGACGAGTTTTTGGAGCAATTTTGGGAAAGCAGATTTCTAGTGTTACCAGTAAGTGCCTTGGTGACACTAAGTATGCTTGCTCACTGAGCGTGTGGTTATGAACGTACGATCCTCAAGTCTGAATGTTATGGGGGACGTCTGTAACTTATTTCCAGTCTGTTGCTGGAGGCAGGTGCTCAGGGCTTCGGAGAGGCCCTGGGCTCGGGGTCAGACCCCAGCGCTGCCCGTTGGCTGGCCCCGCTCTTGGGCTCCCCTCCATGAAAGGCATGGGGGTGTGACGTCAGGGGCCACGCAGGCCTGGCGCCCAGGGGGCCCTGAGTGCCCGGGGTCAGGAGTTGAGGAAACGCTGTCACCTGTCTCAGATTTCCTCACCACCGGAGAAAACGAACCCCAGGCTGACTGCACGTTACCTGGTGCAACTGTGGCTCCTGTGAGTTATGCTTTATAAGGAGTTTCTCTTCTTTTTCAAGCAGGAGGTAGACAGCGGCTGGCCTGTGGCTTAGCCTACCACTGTCCCTGCTCTTTGATGCTGACCTCATGGGGACGCCTGCTGTTTTTTCAGGTAAAATGTAGCATTTGAGTTAACGTGGATTTGGGGGTGGGTCTTGTCAGCGGACCACCTGCGCTTGCCAGATGCAGCACTCCAGACGCCCAGGTCTGCGCAGAGGGGCTTGTCCAGGTCGCCTCCCTGAGGGCGGGGCCGCGGCTCCAAGGGAGGATGGCCTGTGGTGCGGGGAGCCGGTCACAGGGGCAGCCGTGGGACCGGGTTGTGCGCAGGCGTGTCTGGCTCACGTGCCTCTGCGGGCTCATGTCACCTGGAGGCGCGCGGTCGGCCCGGTGATGGCGGGAGCTCGCCCCTCAGACAGCGGCGCCAGCCCCGTTTAGGGCCAGCGGCTCTGCCCGTGTTAGCTGGCCCGAGCCCAGGCTACCCGCTGACTCCACATTCCTGCGGAACCACGTAGGCCCCGTGGGTGCCGCAACCCTGTGTCAGAGGCACTGTCTGTAGCGGGGTCGACGAGCCGAAGAGCAAGCGAGGCGGCGCGGCCGGTGAGGTCGGGGCGTGGGCGCTCCCCTTGCCTGCTGGCCTGCGGGCGGGCTCGGGGCTCTCTGTCGCTCACCCCTGCCCGCAGCCCCGGTCGAGGTTTCAGAGTGGGCTTTTCAGTCCCGTGGGCACAGGTTCAGTCCTCCGCTGGTCCTGTTGTTAACAGCTAAGTCCTCTTTTGTTCCCTTCGAGACAAGAATGGAATAGAACCAAGTCTTGAACTCGGGAATGAAGTGCTGAGATTTGACAGAGGCGATGCCACTGGGCTCCGCTAAGCCTGCCAGCGAGCGTTGCTGTGAGGCCGAGCCGCCGGCGCGCCTGTGGCGGGGCTCTGCGGTCGGGAGGGCTCTTCTCGCGTCCGGGGGAGTGAAGCCGGATCTGCCAGACACGTGGCGGAAACATGTCCTGTAGGTTAGTGGGGTTTGTACACGGACGGCTTATGAACATAACAAGGTGAAGACGTGTGTAAGCAAGGAAGTCTGAGGTCAGGCGGCGAGGCCAGCGGGGTTGCTGTTCTGGTTTTGTGGCTCGGACACGGCCCTGGGCAGGAACCTCGAGACCTCGCCCTGCTTGTTCATGAGGCTCCTGGTGTCACTTGCTTCAAACTTACACTTGGTAGATATTTTAACAACAAACACACAAAAAAGAAATCTCTCACTAGTCCATGTGTTTTTGTGAACCAGAGAGGAGGGAGAGGGTGGTAGGCCCAGGCTGGTGGGACAGGAACCAAGGCAGCTGCTGGGGGAGGCCGGGCCCTGCCCTCAGGGGCCGCAGTGTCTCGCTTCCAGCCCCCAGCCCACAGGACCCCAGAACACGCTGTGGCTGCTCCAGGCCCGGACCCTGTGCTGGGGCCGCTGCTGGTGAGGCCCCTCGCACACGCACACGGGCAGGTCCCAGGGGCATCCAGTCTAACTGTGTTGGTGGTGAGCAAGTGTCTGTGGGTTTTGCTGGAAAAAGGGGCTTCTGCTGAATGCAGAGCACGCGGTGGGTGTTCCAAGTCGCCTCTCAGAAAGGCGCACGCTCTCTCTGTCTCGGGGAAGAGAGTCATCGTTACCCACCTAGCTGGCGTGAGTGCGTCACTTTGTCTTACGTGGCTGGTTGGTTAATAATCCAACACTTCAACTTTGGAAGTGTGATTGGTCTCTCAGCACTTACCAGAAGACAGAGAAATGGGTGTTTTTGTTTCCATCATGAACTAAGACAAATGAGAAAAGAAGATTTTGACTGAAGGCAGTGTTAGATGCTAACGTAAGCCCCTCCTGGAGGACTCAGGACCTCTGAGAGCACAGCCGGGCGGTGTGCCCCAGCTGGAAAACCACTGATCAGTCACATTTAATTTAATACCAGTGTCTGTGTGTAGACTTCAGAGCATTTTCCATCAAACGCTGTTGTCCAGCACAGGGCTGTGGTGCCCCATCCCGTCCCTGCTCTGAGTGTGCTGGGCACGTGGCGGGTTGCAGGGACCTGGCTGGTAGGTCTGAGCACGTTCGGGAGGACCACGAGGGCGAGGGGGTCGGAAGATTAAATGAGTTAAGATTTCATTGGATTGTATAAAAATGAATTCTTACAAGAGAATGAAATTCGGCTGAGGACTCTTGCTTCTGGATCTTAAGTTCTTCCCTGTCCGAGCTCTGCCGGGTTAGCCCCTTCCCACGTTCCTCTCTGTGGCGGGCGCCGCACGCCCTGGCTCCCACTCGCCCACCTTCCGTCCTGTCCCTGTGGCTGGAGCTGGAGCTGGAGCCCCGGCCCTGGGGAAGAAGAGGCTCAGGTCGGGCTTCGTGTCCTGTTCATTGTCTCTGGAGCTCGTCCCTGCCACGCACACTTGGGGACACCAGTCATCGCAGGCAGGGGCCCTTCCGAGTGGTTCTGGGGCGAAGACGCACATGTGATGTAGATGGTGAGACGGGACCCGGCTGGGGTCCCTCGTGGGCACGTGGCTCAGCTGGCCCCCGGGGTGGGCACTCACCCCACAGCCACGGGTCTGCACTGGCCTGGAGGTCATGGCACTTCCCGTGTCCAGGGCGGAGCTTGGAGAAGGTGGTCCTCTTGGGGTCCCAGTGTCGTTCGGAGTTGGGGTTTGCCCAGCGCACAAGCAGGAGCGCCAGGCGGGCTCCTCGGGCCCTGGGCCCCTTGGGGGTCTACTCTGCGGTGTTTCCGCCTGCTTGGGTGACTAAGCCGCCGGCTGTCCGGGCGCCCAGCGAGGGTGGTGGTTAGTGGTTGGAGGGATGGGAGGACAAAGGAGGGGCCCCTCTGCCGCGGGTTACAGAAGGAACGTCACCACGTGCGGCCTCGCGGCATCTGGCCTGAAGGCCCGACGGGATGGTGTGCGCGCCCCTCCCTGGGCAGACTCTGCGGGTGGCCGTCGGGTCTGAGGCACGTCTTTGGAAATGACGAGGGGCCACCCCGATGGCTGCTGGCTAGCTGGGCGGCCCACGGACGCCTGCGGCCGGACTGGCCGAAGTGCTGGTGCCCCGGCTCCCAGAGATGGACACCAGAGGGCAGCAAAGCCATTGCAGACGGTTTTCTGCACGGGGACTTTGACCCCAGGAGCTGGGACGTGCACTGTCGGTAAAGCTTTCCCGGTTTCTCCGATTCTCCTGGTGGGTCTCTGACACGTGTGACGTCAAAGGAGTAACAGTTCACAGCACAGAGAGCGTCACCGGTTTCCTCCGGCCCGCAGCTCCCACCACGCCCGCCTGGGCACCGCCGAGGTCCAGCTCCCGTGCCCCGGGCTATCACCTGGGCAGCCCTGCCCTCTTCTGTTTCTCACCATTTCTTGTTGGACCATGGTTTTCATTTCCAAAGCCCAAGAAGGCCTCTCCAGGAAGCTTTCTGTGGGCCCGTCCGCTTCTCAGGGTGGCTGGTGGTGGCAGCGTCTGGGCCGACTTGCGGGGTGGTTCCCGGGGCCGGGCGAGGTTCTGAGATGAGCGTGTGTGCGGGCTCAGAGCCGGAGGGACGGCAGACACCCGGAAGAGCAGGCCTGGTCAGGGGAGGTGGCAGGAGTCGGGGGCCCGGGCAGAAGCCTGGTGTCCTCGCCCGGCCACTCCCTCAGGTCGGAGCTGGCCGGCCGGGCAGCCCAGAGCTGGGCCGACCCCCGCGGACAGGCCGTCGAACTGGCCCGGGGCGTGGGTCCCTTTTCCCCTGGCCTGTGCATCTGCTTATGTCCCTGTGAAGGTGGGGCTGTGCTGAGTGACGGCGGGCCCGTCGTCTGTGCACG